CATCAAACAGATCCAATTTACCCAGCAGAATATCAGATACGTCAAAAACAAATCATGGTAGCCCTTTGAAACACTAAAGTTATGTTTCTTCTCTACCAAATTTAAATCATGATGCTGTGTCTTGGTTAAACAAATAGTCCCAGTGTCCATAGTAACTTAATGGTGAGAGATGTGAAGTCCCACTTTCACAATGGAAACAAATGCCACATTATCAATGGGGTTGCTTGCTGGGCAGCAGTATATGTAAAAAAATTAAGGGCTTGTGTTGGTAAATGGGCAGACGTGGCAGCCACCACGGTCCAGGAGGCCCTAGTGAGTTATAGCCCTTACATGGGCCGAAGTGGTATAAACGGGGGTGCGCATGCGCCATGAGGCTACAATGCCACTTCCGGGCACCATATTTCCTGAACGTGGGGACGGTTCGTGTGTGCGCAGGAATCCTCAAGCACCGTGTGTGGTGGTAAATGTCGATGACTTCAGAACTGAGTACGATACGTGGAGGAGTATTCATACAATTAATTAATTAAAATGAAAGAAATAAATCTTAAAGACGTTGAGTTTTTAAAAAGCAAGTTGGAAAAAGGTACGGGCCAGTACTTTGTGTAAATTTTTGAAATTCACAAAACATAGTAAAAATATGAAAATATAGATGGGATGATCAACCTCAGGGGAGAGGCATGGGGAACAGGATGGAAGGTTTCGATTGTATTGGTTGTATTTCGTTAAAAAAAATTTTTTTTTAACATTTGTTCATTTTTTTGAGAGAGAGACACAGTATGAGCAGGAGAGGAGCATAGAGAAAGGGAGACACAGAATCCAAAGCAGCATACAGGCTCTGAGCTGTCAGCACAGAGCCAGATATGAAGCTCAAACTCATGAACCATGAGATCGTGATGTGAACTGAAGTCAGATGCTTAACCGACTGAGCCACCCAGCGCCCCTGTGGTTCATTTTTTTTTAATGTTTTTTAAAAACAGCAAAAAATGTTAACATCTGCTATGTTTGACTAGCGGGTTCATGCCTGTGTGTTATTTTCTATACTTTCACCGTATGGTTGAAATGTTTCATAACTTTCAGAGAAACTCTCTTAAACACACAAGCATGGTTAACTAGATTTTAAGAAATTTTTAGCTCCTTCCAAATGTATGTTGAAAATAGACATTATAAGGAAAGTAATAGACCCTATTAAATAAATTTCAGAAAAGTAGAAAAAAATAACTCAGACTCTCATCACTCAAAACAGTCCTTGTTAATGTTTTGGTATATTTCCTCTCCTGTTTTCCCTTGTGTGGGTGCCTGTGTGTTTAAACATCCTTCTAAGCATCTTGGATACACAGATTGAATTCTGTCTTTTTCGCTCATTACAGTATCACCCTTTTTCCATGTTATGACTTAGCCTCCATGAACGTCATTTCCATGGACTTCCATTAAACATCGTCCACAGCTCGCTTAACCAACACCATTTTTTGCTTAAAAACAGGAACGTTCAGTGGACACAGTCATGTATTGGTAAACATAATCCTTTTGAAATCTTCAGGAACAGGATTGGGTCATGCTCTCTGTTGATTTCTACAAGGATGTTTCATGTGAGATGACAGTAAAGAGGTCTGTCACGTCTGTGATACACTCCCAGGAAGACGGGGCTTGTCGGCGTGCATCCCGTGGGTTGGAACCGTACATATTTTAAAATCCAGCTCTGTGTATACCTTGCCTGAGAGGAAGCAAGTGCTCGTACATCCTTGTACAGCCAGCATCTGGTCTGGACTCCTGAGCCCACAGCTGGGGGAGTATTTGCTGCTCCTGTTAAACTCTTGTTTTGAGGCCTGAGGTTAATTACAGTATCACCCTTGATACCTGAGGTTAATGGTAGAAATAATTGTTGCAGATATTTATGTGCCCCTTCCCAGCTTGTAAAGGCTCTCATATCCACTGCCACCTGGTCTACTCTGGGCTCCCCAGGCGGCAGAGTGGGTACCCAGCTGGCCCTGGATTACAACCAGAAAGTGGGAAAGGCAGGACCACTGCCCAGTGACACGTACCCGAACTCTTCAGTTACTGTCCTTAGACTCAGGCAAGAGGGGCCACATCTGCCCAGAGCCCACATCCTCTTCTAGACCACACTCTGTGTCCCTGGAATTCCCTAACAGATGATCCCGAGCTCTTCTAGGACCTATGTCAGCTCGAATCTGTCCTCGTGGGGCCAGACCACCAGTGTGGGTACGCCTAGTGCAAGGGCAGCATTTTGCAGGGAGTGAGCAGATCCTAGACCCGCGGGCTGCAGGATGAACCCAAAGTCAGGGGTGTGGCTGGGGACAGTGCAGAGGCTGAAGTGAAGGCCAACATCCGCTGCAGTGGAGCTCAGAGTTGCAAGGACTTCCAAGAACTCCAAATTCAGGCCTGGTCTCCTTTGTCATGTATTTGTCAGAGTTGGAGGACAGAATGTATTATGTGTAACAGTTAGCTTAATCTGTAACTCTTCACTATTTAGAGATTCAGCACATGGACCTCCTTCTCTACTCTTGCTCTGGGACCCACAGATCTTAAGAACAGTCTTGCTGTTTCCAGGTCTTCTTTCTTCTACCCAAGATTACGGACATACTGAGGGGAGTGCAAAAGAAAGCAATCAAGGGGCGCCTGGGTGGCTCAGTCGGTTAAGCATCCAACTTCCACGCAGGTCATGATCTCACAGTTTGTGAGTTTGAGCACCATACAACGCTCTGTGCTGACAGTTTGGAGCCTGGAGCCTGCTTTGGATTCTGTGTCTCCTTCCCTCTCTGCCTCTCCCCCACTCACACTCTGTCTGTCTCTGCCTCTTAAAAAAAAAGAATAAAAGTTAAAAAAAAACAATCTAGGATAGGGGAGGGGGAAATGGGTGATGGGCATGGAGGAAGGCACTTGTTGGGATGAGCACTGGGTTTTATATGGAAACCAACTTGACAATAAACTATAATTTAAAAAAAGCAATCTAGAACCACAGAAAAATAAAACAATTTAGTGTATAAAATCCCAATAGATAGCCCACCCCCAACCCCACCCCCACGTCTGCATATAAAGGCAAGAAATGCATTTCAGGGCAGAATAGAGTACAACCACCTGCTATGAGGATGAATCAGCCTGACACGATCTGGATCACAAATAGAAGACAGCTAGTAAAACTACAATCTGCTGCTCTTCCCCTTCTCTCATTTCCCTGCACACCCCGCCTGCCCGCCAGCCATTCTGGCTACCCCTGTCTGCCACAGAACTACCGCCCTCTGTCGGTTACTTTAAGCCATGCAAGAAGTTGGACCTCTGAACTCATGGCATTGTGGGAAGTGGTCTCCCAAAGAGGGGCAGCATGGAAAATCTGTGTTGCAAGAGTTTACATTTTAATTGTTTGGCCGCTGAACTAATTTTTTTCAGTTCCCTAATCCCCAGCAATATTTGTGATTTGTGATCAAGGATTGGACTGACTAGAGAAGCACTAAATCATTCAGACAATTTCATTGACCTGTTTACCTCCCCTATGGAGAACAGAGATAAACAGTCCTAATCTGGATAATTAAGCACACACGTTAGGACAGACTTCACTCAGTCCATTTTATTAGACAACCGTTCAGTCGACTTTCCCAACTATATCCAGCAAGGAAGCTAATTTAGGTAAGGCTTAGAGAGGTTAAGGAGCTATTATAGTAGCTGTTATAGGTAAAGCATTTCAGAGAGGTTAGGTAATGTGGCTGAGGTTATCCAGCTGGGAGGTGGCGAGCAGGGACTCAAACTTGGGCTCATCTAAATTATTGTAAGGACCCAAAAAGAAAGATGGATTTTGTCCAGACTTACTCCCTGGCAAAAGAGAGTCACCTTTTATCAGAGCTCCCACAAAGTAGTAGAGCCCTCCCTTGATTATTCTATTTTGATCAAGTTTTGTTTGCAACAACACATTAACCTGGAACAGCCTTTGGTCAGTGCTAGTTCTGGAAGCTTGTGCAGGTCACCTGACAAAATTGGCTTTAAAAAAAAAGTGTGTGTGTGGGTGGTGGAGGTGGATCTTTAATATAGCTTTAGTAATTATTCCTGGAGGTATGCTTTTTCATTACAAGAGAGGCTTTTTAAAGATTTCTTGTTAAGTGGTGTCTTCTTGAGATTGTGAATAGGATATTTTTCATTGAGAAATCATACTGAGACCTAAAAAGCCCTCTATCTCTAACAAGATAAATGGAAATGAACTTACTGTGCTTGGAAAAACCGAAGACAAAGACCTTGATGTTGAAGATGCATATGAGAACTTTGAATAAAATTGTTTCATGAAATATGAGGGAATAAAACTAAGCAGTGTATCCAAATTAACATTTTATTCATTAGGATTTAAATATGTATGTGTAATGGGGCATCTGGGTGGCTCAGTTGGTTAAGCATCTGGCTCAGGTCATGATCTCACAGGTTCGTGAGTTCAAGCCCAATGTCAGTCTCTGTGCTGCCTGGAGCCCATTCACATTCTGTGTCTCCCTCTCACTCTGCCCCTCCCTTGCTCACACACTCTCTCTCTCTCTCTCAAAAATAAATAATCATTAAAAAAAACTTTTTAATATCTATGTGTAACTAAATAAATATAAATAGACATATTGGATTGCATTCTACATTTGGTTTTTTCATCTATATATGCAAGTTGGTCAGAATTGTTGGGGGTGGGGGGAATCTTCTCTTTGGGAAATAGAGGCTGGCTTGAGGCTTTAGTACCCCACTGAGTGGTTTTTCCCAAGCACTGAGCCACAACCCAAGATGAGGAAGAAGCAGGCTTGTTTACTGGATCCATGGTGGTGATGAAGGTTAGTACACTGGCTCCTGCCTGCCTGGCTCCTTAAAATTTGCCAAACACTGCTGGCCTAGGGCCTCACAGCCTCTTGCTTGATAGAATCCGTGGTTGTCCTGAATGTCCACCCAAGGACCTCATGTGTCTCCCTGCGTCAGTGACTTGGATGTGGGGAGGGTGTGACCGAGACTGCTTTTCCCGCCTCCCGCAGGCAGCACTGGTTGGAGGCACCACCATGGTCATCGGCCACGTCCTGCCCGACAAGGAGACCTCCCTCGTGGAAGCTTACGAGAAGTGCCGGGGTCTGGCCGACCCCAAGGTCTGCTGTGACTACGCCCTGCATGTGGGGATCACCTGGTGGGCACCCAAGGTAAGTGTGCTGAGCAGAATCCCAAAAGAAGAATCAATGCGTTCTTAGGCAGAGGGGCAGTTTGGTTGGAGTTGGCTGGGGTGGGGTGCCCTCCCACAGGTGGGGGATCCCCCCCACCATCCCAACTTCCCCAGGTGCCAAAAGAAAAGAACACCTGATTCCACAAGGCGGTGACAAGACTTGTTCTGCTTAATTTGAGGAGCCAGTTTTCCAGCAGATACAGAGGGCCTGAGACCAGAGGCCCGGGGAGCGCTGGCTGGCTCCTTGCTCAGACCCCAAACCTCTCAGCATCTCTTGATGCTTTACGTGAGGTGCCACTGACCCCTAAGGGGACCGCTGCTGAGAAGCGGGCTTGGCAAGAGTCACACTCCAGGGCTCACATTGTTTTCATGCCAGAAGTGACAGCATGGACCTGAGGTCTCAGAACAGAACAGAGGGTCCCGTCCTGGCTCAGGGCCACCTGATATAAATGGATGGGGCCACTTCTTTCCTACTGGGGCCCGGCTCCTGCTCTGAGAGCCCCGAGGCTGCACCTGGCCTGTGGCTGAGGCTGTCTCCCAGTGAGCCCTCTGTCACTTCAGCCCCTGTGCCCCTTGCCATCATCTGGTTAATCCCAACAAAAGCACTATTATTATTTTGGCGTATTCACCTTCCGGTCTTTTGTTTGTTTCATATGTGCTTGTTACGTAGTAACTCTTTCACTTAGGTGTGAGCATTTTCTGTCTGGCTACATGGTCCTCATGACCATGAGTGCAGTGGCTTCATGTCCTATCAGGGAGATGAACCTCAATTTATCTTCCTGCTGTCAGACCAAAGTTGCTTCCGTTTTTTTCCCCTATATGAATAATGTTAGGATGACTTTCCTTATTCATGTAGCTTTGTTCATGTTCCTAAATTAGATTTAACCCAGCGTCTCAGGATTTTTTTTTACGATTTTATCTTTAAGTAATTGCCATGCCCAACATGGGGCTTGAACCACAACCCCTAGATCAAGGGCCTTATGCGTTGCTGACTGAGTCAGCCAGGCTCCCTGGGTCTCAGGAGTTTTAGCATTATTGTGCCTTCTTTGTAACACCACTTCCATTATGGGGATGGGGAACACAGGTCTTAGGGGTAAACGCTGTTAGTGTGTTTACCCATAGGCTGACTTGGGTCAGAGACACAGGACAAGCCTATACGAAGCAGAAACGCCTAGATGGTGACAATATGGTTCCTCAATTTGTGTCATGCTTCACAATTTTCTTTCTTTTTATTTAAAAAAATTTTTTTAATGTTTATTTATTTTTGAAAGAGAGACAGAGACAGAGAGGAGGAGAGGGGCAGAGAGAGAGGGAGACACAGAATCCGAAGCAGTTTCCAGGCTCTGAGCTGTCAGCACAGAGCCCAACATTGGGCCTCAAACTTGTGAATCGCAAGATTATGACCTGAGCCGAAGTCGGACGCTTAACCGACTGAAGCACCCAAGTGCCCCTTGCTTGACAATTTTCAAAGTACTTCTGCATCTGTCTGCTCCCATAACCTCACGGTGGCCTGCGGGGGGCAGGGGGGACGGGGAGGAGGGGGAAAGTGAGATACTGCAAGGTTGCAGGTGGTCATACGGTCCCTCCCCCCACTGGCCCCCATCTCCTCCATCCTAGGCTGGTCAGCCTCTTGAACATCTATACTCACGTGGCATTGCCTTTGCATTTTGCTCTCCAGGTGAAAGCAGAAATGGAGACGCTGGTGAGAGAGAAGGGTGTCAACTCATTCCAGATGTTTATGACCTACAAAGACTTGTATATGCTGCGGGACAGTGAGCTGTACCAAGTGTTGCATGCATGCAAGGACATTGGAGCGATCCCCCGAGTCCATGCTGAGAATGGGGAGCTCGTGGCTGAGGCAAGGCTGTAGAGAATATTGGGGAAGGGGGGCTGGGGCACCAACAGAGCCAGTTCTCAGAGGGATTCCTGACCACCCCCATCACCCATCCCACAGTTTTGTCCAGACAAAATGAGTTCTAAAAGAAAGTGTGAGATGCTAACACCCCAGATGACCAATCTTTGTCAGAAAATCCAAACTTGTCTACTGTCTGTAAAAAAAAAGATATATACGTATATATATGTGTATATATATATATATATACACACATACATACATACATATCTATCTTTATAGTCCAAAAGAGTTTCTAAGTCTTAGATGATAATGTCTTAGTTCTAGTGATATGATATTTAAATTCCATTATAGCCAAAGACTTTGGAGCACCTCTAAGAAATATTTTTATTGAGATTTGACATCAGAATAAATGATAGTCAGCTCTCCTCTTTCCTCCGCTTCCTCCTTTTTCCTGTTACCTCTCCCCATCCCCCCCCACCACCACCACCACCGAGGAACTGAGATATTATAGCAATCTGCTCACTGGTAGATGAGCCCCTTTGTACTCCTGGGTCTGAAATGGGATGCTTGGTAAGGGTTAATCTAGCTGTTGCTGGAAAGTAGAGATTTGACTAGATTTCTGGTGGGAAAATTCTGATTTTCAGATCTTTGATGTACCAAGCCTATTGGCTGGTTACAGAACTATAATTTTAAGACAGAAAAAACTGCATTCAGTCCTTAGGAAGCAAGACACAGGAGAGCCTTACTGCCAGGGAGCCCTGTCCCTTTCTGCCCTCTTTGGGAGGTGGACACTGTGGAAGCGAGGACAGTGTCAAGCCTGTTGGACTGCATGGTGTCCGGCATGTTTCTGTGTTCCTGGGGATCGTTATTTTCTTGTATCTGTGTGGTTCTCTCAGTTTTCTCTCTTTTGCTATTATTCAGGGTGCTAAGGAGGCGCTAGATTTGGGGATCACGGGCCCAGAAGGAATCGAAATCAGCCGCCCAGAGGAGGTGAGGAAAACTGACTGTGCCTCTTCTCAGTTTCTTTCCTGTGGATTCACAGAACCTTTAGGATAGAAACAACATCAATAAATAAAAGTTGTATATTATTGCCTTCTCTGTGGGTGAAATTCTCATCTGGAAGCTTTGCAGGGAACAGGCATCCCCCTGCTGAGGCTGACTTGGCCTTGAGCTTCCTTGGGAAAGACAATTTGCAGGAAGCCAGACCCAAATAATTTGATTCTGATGTCAGGGATCCGAGGGAGACCATGTGAGCTCTCCGGGGGTTGCTTTCCCCAAAATTGAATAGGGAAAGAAAAGAAAGAGTGAAAAATTCCAGATTATAAGCCAGTGATTCAGTGTTGTGGGAATGAGAGCCTCTGAGGAGAACGTTGGATGCCCTCCCCGCCCCCCCCCCACGAGAAACCAGAAGAACAGACATGTCTATACTCTTTGCCCTTGTTACTGTATTGACCACTGTGAAGGTACTGAAAAGCCCTGCTCTCCTCTGCCCTCTGGTGTTATCCTGGCACAGTTTTGCAGGATGTCCACGCAAATCCCCAGCAGTCCCCCTCGGTAAAGAATTCTGCCCCGGAGGGGACCTTACTGGACAAATTGTGCTTTCTTGTCCTGTGACCCTATCCAGACATCTTCTGCCGTTAGTGAAGAGAATGCTGTTTTCCATTTCTTCAAAGTGTTCAGTGCAGAGTGGTGGCTGGATGTCCCTGAGGGATTGATGGGTGGCCCTGAGGGCCAAGGAACCAGAGACCAGGTGTCATGGCACTGCCATCAGACATGCGAGGCCCTGCATGAACCTGTAAGGACAGGAGTGGGTGCATGGGCACAGGACTGGGCTTTGTTCGGTTATCGAGGGGAAGAGCCATGCTTGGACTGTAGGGTATTAATAGCAGGTGTCATCACTGTCATCACCTATGGTTACAGGCTCTACACCAGAAGAGATTTTGCTCTCTGGCAGACATCTGACAATGTCTAGCGATATTTCTGGTTGTCCCACCTGGGAGGAGCGAGGCGGGAGGGTGTGGTACTGCTGGCATCTAGTGGAGAAAGGCGAGGAGTGCTGCTTGAAGATCCTGTGGTGCCCAGACAGTCCCCCACCGCAAGGAATAACCCGACTTAAAATGTCCATGGTGTTGAGGTTCAGAAACCCGGATCTAGGTTAATTTCCAGCTTGATAGTGGCGAGTATCGGTCCATGCTACAGTGCTGAGGTGGCTGTGGAAAGAATACGCCAGAAAACACGGAGAGATGAGACTCGGTTTCCGTTTCCTTTTGTTTTGTTGCCTTTTTCTTTTTTGAGAGAGAGAGGGTGAGAGAGCATGATCTAGGGAGAGGCAGAGAGAGAGGGAGAGAAAGGATCTCAAGCAGGCTGCACACTGCCAGCCCAGAGCCCGACGCAGGGCTAGAACTCATGAGCCATGAGATCATGACCTGAACTGAAATCAAGAGTCAGACACTTAACCGACTGAGCCACCCAGGTGCCCCAGAAAGGGAAGAATTTTTAAAAATATGTTGTTTATGTTTGAGAGAGAGAGAAAGAGAGAGAGTGAGAGAGAGAGAGTGCCCGTGAGTGGGGGAAGGGCAGAGAGAGAGAGAGAGACAGAGAGACAGAGAGAGAGAAGGGCAGAGGATCCAAAGCAGGCTCCGGGCTGACAGCAGAGAGCCCAATGTGGGGCTCAAACTCAAGAACCACAAGATCATGACCTGAGCCAAAGTCATACACTTAATTGACTGAGTCACCCAGGTGCCCCCCAACTTTTTTTAAGTTTATTTCTTTATTTTTGAGAGAGGGAGGGGGACAGACAGAGAATCCCAAGCAGACAGCACAGAGCCCTGTGCAGGGCTCCATCCCACAAATCGTGAGATCATGACCTAAGCTGAAACCAAGAGTTGGATGCTTTAACTGACTGAGCCACCCAGACGCCCTCATTGCCTTTTATTTAAGGCATCCAGCAAGGATATACCTGGTGTACTAAATCCCTGGATTCTCTCCAGGTGAGAAGAGGTGGGGGGAGCTTGGTGCCCCTGCCCAAGGCTTACCCCCCGAACCAGCCTCTACAGGTGGAGTTGGCCCCTCCAGCCCTATGTTGGATATTCCAGCACTTTCTACAAAGTGGGCTTTTGAGCAGAGGTGGGCTTGCTTGGGAGAGAGAGTGAAGGCTTGTTTTCTTCCTATCCTTTGTTCCTAACAGCTGGAGGCTGAAGCCACTCACCGAGTTATCACCATTGCAAACAGGGTAAGTAGACTCCCGCTTGCCCTAAACCCATTCTTGACTCTAGGATCAGAAACCAGAATCTTCAGTCTCCACGGTGGAGTCCCATTCTGCCCTGGGTGCCGGCACCAAGCCTGGCTCACAGGACCCCAAAACCGTTTGCTGGGTGCTGTTATTCCCACAGACCTGGCAGAAGTCCTCTTAGCTGCCAGCTCTCTGTTCCACCCCAGCGAGCTTGCTCAGTCTGGCTTCATTGCTCAAATGGAAATGGCTCCCAGGGGTGGCAGGGTGAGTTGGGGGTCCACAGGGGCTCACTGCAAATGAACTCCATCTCCTGTAGAGGAATTTGCTTGCCTAGAGAACCGTGATCTAATCCTCTGCCTCTAGACCACTTAGAAGTTGTCCTTGGTATCGCTCAGGGCGAGGGGGTGCTGATGCAGTGTGGGAAACAAACAAGATGTGAGACCTTTACCAGACAGGAAGCTCTCGGTGTATGCACGTCACTCAACCACTCTGATACACTATTTTGTTATCTGGCGTTGGAATGATAATACCACTTCTCACGGGATGATTGGAAGGATCAAAGGGGGGGCAGGGAAGGAAAGGCGCCTTATAAACAGTAGAGCACTATACCAAGGTTATTTCTCTTTCTAAACCATCATTAAAGAGTTCGATTTGCTCAGATAATCTGATCTGTCACCTGTAGAACGCCAGTTTTCTAAAGTGTGGTGCCTGGACCAGCAGCATCTGTGTTTGTTACAAATAGAAACTTAGAACTGCAGATTCCCGGGCCCATGTAAACCCATTGAATCAGAAACTGGGAAAGATGCCAGCAGTCTGTTTTAAGAAACCCAGCCATGGTTTTAGTGGGCACTCACGCTCCAGAACCTCTTCTCTGAAAAGACGTGGGCGATCGCGCAGGACGTAAGCATGAGGGTGTGGTGTTGGGAATGCCAAGGACCACGCAGAGGTTAGAGCTCCAACGGATCTCAGAATTAGTAACGTTGCACCAGGCACATCAAATGTCAGGCCAGTTCCTAAGCTCTCTGTCCTCTCGTTTTGATAAGCAGAGAAGGCATCAGAGTAACATTTGGGAAAAGTTTCCCATTAGCAGTTGATAAGTCTGGGTGCTGAACCAGGACATTGTTTTCCTGGCACACCAGTGGTTATGATATCAATTATTTCCTGATGGTAACTGACCCCAGGATAAGGAAAGATGTCAATAGCACAGGGCCAGCTTCCTGACTTTGAGCTCAAACATATGCCCAGGCAAGCAAAGCCAGGGACCATTGGTGCACAGCTCAGCAGAGGAAAAGCTCTTCAATATTACAACCCAGGTGTCCATTTGCAAAACCGGTCCTGTCTGATATAGACTCTGAACCCTGAACCTCTTGTATTTTGTTTCTTCTCAAGGTACATTCTGTCTACTGATAAAGCAGCCCTGGTTGTAATTTTAGATATGAAGTATATTCCATGACTGTCTCTAGGTCATCATGTTCATGAACAGGAAATTTACAAAGTCCCTTGTGTTAAGTTATAAATCATCTTGATTCCGTCTGGAAGAAGATGGGAGGTTCCCGGTGGAAGACCTTCTCCCTGAGAATGAGGCTAAGAGACACAGGGGGAAGTGCTGGGGCCAAGATTGGTTTGGCGGGGGCTATGCTAGTGCTTGTTAGGTTCATGGGGTTGATGCTCTCTCCTTCCCACCGGTTTCCTTGTTTAGACTCACTGTCCAATATACTTGGTCAATGTGTCCAGCATCTCGGCCGGTGATGTGATCGCAGCTGCTAAGATGCAAGGTGAGTCCCTGGGCGGGAATGGACAATGCGCATGTGTGGTGGGACTGCAACCCCGTGGGGCTCCCCAGAGTGCTCCCTTTTCTCTCCTGTCACCCACAGAAGCACTGCTACCACTGGGTTCAGTGCGTTCGAACCAGTGTTTTCCTCTGTACATTTGTATGCATAAAGACTTTACAGAAGTGTCTGTCACCTCTCCTGGGTCTGGTAAATTTTTCCAAGTTTTCAGTCAACTCATTAATTGGTATCTTCTTGGCCTCTTGGGTTTTACTACTCGTTGCCTTGGTAACTAACACAGAATCCTGGACCAGTTCCAGTAGACGTTTCAAGGGGATGCCTGGGAAGTCCCTGGAGAAATACCAGTGTCTGGACCCAATTTCCCTTACAGCCACCCCTACACCCTGTATATGAGCCCCAGATAATTGTGTCTGCTGTTGCTGGGCACCGGGCAGCACCAGAAGGTTTTTATACTTGCTTATAATCTTGGCCCGGCTCGGGGTGCCAGTGAGGTCCTGGAAAGGAGAAACAAAGTCATGGTCACAGACTTGGGGATATAAATCAGAGAAAGGGCTTTCAGCCTTCTGGTAGTACTGCCCGAGAGATGCTGCCTCCCGTCTCTCCCCCAGTGGGAGCCCCTTGGGTGTCTCACCCGCACCGCTGGCCCTCCTTCCCCCCATCAGTGCCCTGCAGCACCAGTGGTCCTCCCAAACCATGGTGCTGCCCCTCTTCGGTGCCCTTGACCTTCCATTCTCCTTGCCTGGAGCCAGCATGGCAATAGGGAACACTCTGGCCTTTGAACCCAGCTGTGCTCTCAAACCTCCGTGGAAGCTTGAGAAAGTCCCTTCCTCTCTCTGACTTAAGCTCCTCCACCTATGAAATGAGAAGGTCAGACCAATGATCTCTCAGTTCACGGGTTCCTAGTTATGGTTTGACCTTTCTCCTTCCAGGGAAGGTTGTACTGGCCGAGACCACCACCGCGCATGCCACTCTGACAGGCTTACACTACTACCACCAGGACTGGTCCCACGCGGCCGCCTACGTGACGGTGCCTCCGTTGAGACTGGACACCAACACCTCAACCTACCTCATGAGCCTGCTGGCCAAGTAAGGCGTTTCAGCAGAACCTCCCTGGCCCCAGAGCACAGCCTTAACTCATAATATATGCCATCCTGAGAATTTATAGGTCTTCGAGGTGATGTCATAGAGGAAAAGTTTTAATGAATAGCCTGAATTCAGTGGGACACAAAAATGAAAAGATGTTTTGTTCCAAACTGCTTGCAGCTTCTTTCTTCCTTTTAGTGACATTTTGGATAGAATCTGTTGTTTCCTCTCCCTTTTGGTTATTAAAGTCTAGGGTTTTTTTTTTTTTCCTTAATATGTTTATTTATTTTTGAGAGAGGGAGAGAGAGCCGGGGAAGGGCAGTAAGGTCTCGGGGTGAAGGTGGCCCCTGGAGGGGCAGTATATGCATGGCAATAGTGCAGCACCTGCCTTCTGTGCCACAGGATTGCTGTGATACTGAGAAGCAGCAGCCCTTACGCATTTAGATAAACGAGGAAATACGAGAGAGGAGAAATGCCAGACTAGCTCTGACTCTTAAAAATGCTTCACACTGCGGGGCGCCTGGGTGGCTTAGTCGGTTAAGCGTCCGACTTTCGCTTAGGTCATGATCTCACAGTTCGTGGGTTCGAGCCCCGCGTCGGGCTCTGTGCTGACTGCCAGCTCAGAGCCTGGAGCCTGTTTCAGTCTGTGACTCCCTCTCTCTCTGACCCTCCCCTGCTCGCGCTGTCTCTCTCTCTGTCTCCTAGAAATAAATAAAACATTAAAAAAATATATTTAAAAAATGCTTCACACTGGGGTGGGGCGGGGGAGGGATGCCTGGGTGGTTCAGTTGGTTAAGCATCCAACTCTTGATTTCAGCTCATAATATGTGAGTTTGAGGCCCGCCTCAGACTCTGTGCTGACATGCGAGAGCCTGCTTGGGGTCCTCTCTCTCTCTCTGCCCCTCCCTGGCTTGTTCTCTCTCAAAGATAAATAAATAAACTTTAAAAATATAGATATTAAAGGGGCGCCTGGGTGGCTTAGTTGGTTAAGCATCCGACTTTCACTTAGGTCATGATCTCATGGTTCGTGGGTTCAAGCCCCGCGTCGGGCTCTGTGCTGACTGCCAGCTCAGAGCCTGGAGCCTGTTTCAGAGTGTGTCTCCCTCTCTCTCTGACCCTCCTCTGCTCATGCTGTCTCTCTCTCTCTCCTAGAAATAAATAAAACATTTAAAAAATATGTATATAGATATTAAAAATAAATAAGTCAATAATTTTTAAAGATGCTTTTCATCGGTAAATACCAGCCAGCCTCTTTTCCATCATTACCAACACAACAAAAACAGACAAGGATCAAGAGCCTGCTGTAGTGATTTGGGCTCAGTTCCAAGGTCAGAAAGTCTTTTGAAATACTCCCACTTGCCAGAGGCATATTTACTGGAAGAACAAATAGATGGTAACTGCCCCCAATTTACCCAGATTACAGTGGTCCCACCCCACACGCATTCAAATAGGCAGGGGAAAATAGTGCTGTTAATGGAATAATTTAAGTTCTTATATCTAGCCTATTTTTAATTTAAATTATTTAAATAAATGTATTCAATTAAGGCGAATTGTAATTTCATGTTAGCTGTCATGAGAATAGGTTGAATCCCTTTTTAAAATCAGCACATATTGTAAAAGCGTGTAATTTTAGAGAATTGGGAGCATCGTTTTAACATGCTTTTTTTATTATTTGTTTTTGTTATTTATAGGAATTTATGGTTATTATCATTTCATTTTTATTTTATTTTTATTATTTGTTTTTGTTATTTATAGGAATTTATGGTTATTATCATTTCGTTTTTAGGACGCATTATTGGTGATGATTGATATTATACAAAATGCTCAGTAGAAAACTCAGACACCAATGGCCGTATTCCTATCTATAAGAAAATGTGTGCTGCTTCGTTATGATCTACTTTAGGATGTGATTTCTTATATATCAGAGGGGAAAGCACAATCTATGGGTGTAAGGATTTATCCTTTATTTAAAGTCTATTTTCGGGGTGCCTGGGTGGCTCAGTCGGTTGGGCGTCTGACTTCGGCTCAGGTCATGATCTCATGGTTCGTGGGCTCATGCTATCTCTCTCTCAGAAATAAATACAACAAAACAAAAAAATCTATTTTCACTAAGATTTAAATAAAAATAATTAAAAATTTGATGTTGAGATAGATAGATAGATAGATAGATAGATAGATAGATAGATAGATAAAATCCAATTTCTTGGGGCGCCTGGCTGGCTCATTCGGTAGAGCAGGCAACTCTTGATCTTGGGGGTGTGAGTTCCAGCCCCATGTTGAGCACAGAGATTACTTAAAAATAAAACCCTTAAAATAAAATCTAAATTTCTTTTTTCTTTTTTTACTGAAATATAGTTGACACACGACATGATGTGAGTTACATGTGTACAGCAGTGATTCGACACTCACTATGGTCATGCTATGCTCACAAGTATAGCTACCTTCAGTCACCATGCAATGCTATCGCAATACCATTGACCGTATTCCCTGTGTTGTGCCTTTCATGGCTGGGAAAGTTATCATTCGATAACTGAAAGCCTGTACCTCTCCCTCCCCTTCACCCATTTTGCCCAGCCCCCCAGGCCTCCCTCCTTCTGGCGACCACCAGTTTGTTCTCTGTGTAAAATTTAATTTCTTAAAGGGGCCAAAAGGTTTTTTTCATTTGAATATGTAAAATTTTAAAGTACTTAGCTAGGCACCTGGGTGGCTTGTGGTTAAGTGTCCAACTTCAGCTCAGCTCATGATTTCCTGGTTCATGAGTTCCAGCCCCACTGTTGGGTTCTGTGCTGACAGCTTAGAGCCTGGAGCCTGCTTTGGATTCTGTGTCTCCCTCTCCCTCTCTCTCTCTTTGCCCTTCCCCCACTTGTATTCCATCTCTCTCTCTCTCTCTCTCTCTCTCAGAATAAATAAGCATTAAAAAAATTTTGTTTACGTACTTAACAAAGACAGTCATATTCTAAACTTTAAAGAGTATATGGGTGTAGGTATCATATCTCCTAGATTCAGGGCAGCACTAGGAGACCTCAAAACTCCTTCTGGAATGTGACCACACTCATTCACACCTGCCCCGAGGGGCACCTACTTGTGTAGGAGCCTTCTTTGAAAGGTGAGTGCTCAGTGGGTCTTGGTTAAAGAATGGGCGGCACCTGGGTGGCTCAGTCAGTTGGGCGGCCAACTTTGGCTCAAGTCATGATCTCATCATTCGTGGGCTCGAGCCCCACATCAGGCTCTGTGCTGACAGCTAGCTCAGAGCCTGAAGCCTGTTTCAGATTCTGTGTCTCCCTCTCTCTCTGACCCTCCCCTGCTCATGCTATCTCTCTCTCTCTCTCTCTCTCTGAAATAAATAAATAAATAAATAAATAAATAAATAAATAAATAAATAAAAGAATGGAAGTTGAGGTCCCTGACGCTCAGCCCATGATTCTGACAGGCAACTCTCTGATCTGAGCCCTGCCTGGGGGTCTTGAAGACCCCTGAGAAGAAGGTGAAGCTCTGATGGGTTCTGCAGGCCCAGGGAATGTGGGCAGCACTGGGGCACCCTAGAACAAACCCTCTGTTTTGGGGAGAGTCCCCCCCTGCAATCTCTACAAAGGCCCAGAGAGGCGTGTTTGGCTCAGGGACACCCCAGCCGGTGCCACAGGAAGAGCTAAGTCATCTTGCTGTGGATTCGGCAAAGGACGTTAGTCATTTGGCAACAGTTGTGACTGACGAGCCCTGCCAGGTCCCCAGTGGAAACAGCCCAGTATGCAACCTGACCCTGAATCGTCTGAGAGCCTTAAGAACAGGCCTCATCACTAGGGCGCCTGGGTGCCTCGGTCGGTTGAGTGTCTGGTTCTTGGTTTCAGCTCAAGTCATGATCTCATGGTTCCTGAGTTTGAGCCCTGCCTCAGGCAGGCTCTGTGCTGACGGTGTGGAGTCTCCTTGGGATTCTCTCTCTTTCTCTCTCTGTCTCTCTCAAAATAAATAAACTTAAAAACATTAAAAAAGAAGAAGAAGAAGAAGCCTCATCACCAAGTCTGACATGAGCAGCTTAGATGTCCCACAGGCATTCGCAGGCTTTGGTGACTCCTACAAATAAATTAAACACTCAGGACCCCCGCTGTGTGGTCCCAGCAATTGTCTCCCTCTCCCACATGACCCCCATGCTCCAGCCAGGGCCCTCCCTGCCCTCCAACACTATTTCCTCCTGAGGTTGCCCTGGCCTCGGCGATGTGGGCATCCTTCCCCCTCTGCCCCTCCCCACCTCTGAGCCGTCAGCCTGCAGAGATCTCAGAACACGGGCCAGCTGTCTGCCACCCTCATTTGGTAGAGGGTCTGCTGCCTCGTGTACTATCATACCATCCTAAGTCTCTGCCCTGAATCCTGGCGGGGCTGAAACCCCCCGAGAACCTCACCATGCCTTAGCCACCCACAGCCTTGCAGGGAGGTCACCTTCAGTTACCTTCCGAGGAGAGTGGTCACAGAGGGCAGGGGTGATGATGAACCGGTTGACTTGCATACAATTGCTGGTTTATTAAAGCTAACGTCTCTTCTGTCTCATCCCTCCTTTCGTCTTCTGTGCCGTTAGAGTCCCCATATCCAAGAAAGGCTAGGGCTGCAGGTTATTTAGCAATGCTTAACATTGAACTTGTAAATGTTTTACCAAGCTTGTCATCAGCAGGAACTGGTAGGGGTTGAGGGAGGAGATGAGAGGAGGTTGGCATCGGGACCTCTGGCAGTAAAACCACCTCACATAGCAAAACTAGGAGTTGAATTTTCTCTGCCTGCTGTCTTAACTCTTCAAAGTTGACGCCCCAAAAGCTCCCATCAATGCCTCCTGTGACACTGACAGTCAGTGTCACCCTCAGCCCATAATCCCATTCTACAGATGAGTACACTGAGGTTCACACAAATTAAGTAACTTGTTAGAGGTCAGCTTTGCCTGGATCCCAAGGGAAGGCTTTTCCCCTGCACCTGTCCCTACCCTCTGGGTCCCTGGCGTCCCTCCCTTACTGGTCCATCTTTCTCTCTATCCAGTGATACTCTGAACATTGTGGCTTCAGATCACCGGCCTTTCACCACGAAGCAGAAAGCTATGGGCAAGGAGGACTTCACCAAGATCCCGCATGGAGTGAGTGGCGTGCAGGACCGCATGAGCGTCATCTGGGAGAGAGGAGTGGTATGTTCTGGGGACCCCTCTCTGCTCAAGTCTTAGCAAGGGTTTTCACTCTTAGGAGGCCTTGTTTCATTCAAAAACAAAACCAAAAAGTTCTTATCTTCACCCAACCAGACAGGTAATACAGCCTAGTATAGAAACTTGGAAAATGCAGAAAAGTATTAGGGAAAAAAATCCCCATAATTCTATACCAAGAAATTAAATTATTAATATTTTGGTATATTTCTTTCTAGTTCTATGCATGTGCTATATGTTTAATAACTGGGCTCACCTTTTTTTTTCATGTAACTATATCTTGAGTGTCTTCCTATACCAGTAAAACTTGTTTAAAAACATCTCTTTTTTAAATGTTTATTTAGTTTTGAGAGAGAGAGAGGAAATATGAGCAGGGCAGGGGCAGAGAGAGAAGGAGAGAGGATCTGAAGCCAGCTCTGCACTCACAGCAGAGAGCCCAATGCAAGGCTCAAACTCACGAGCCATGACATCACGACCTGAGCCGAAGTCGGACATTCAACCGACTGAGCCACGCAAGTGCCCCCAAAACATCTTTTTAGTAGCTGAATAATATTTCCTCCAATGGAAGTACCACATTTCAGTTAATCCTTCCCTGAGTTTGAAACTTATAGCTGTTCCAAAGTTTTGCACTTACAACTAATGCTGCAGAGGGCTTTTTGTTCACGAGTATATACAAGTGAGCATTTCTAATTATTTCCTTAGGACAGATTCCTAGAAGCAGATTTCTGGGCCAAAGAGAATGAGCATTTTTTAAGGCTCTGTATATATTTTGTCCAATTGTTTTGAGAAAAACAGGCACTAGGACTTCATTTGAATACCACCTGTTCTCCCCATGAAGAATAAGTATTTTCGGTCTTGACCTATCACAGATTAGCTACAGCAAATATGAGCCTAAGGAGATTTGAAGTCCTCAAGAGTAAGCCACCAGCTCAGAGAGGCCCACAAGCAGCTGTGGAATCTCCCCTTGAAGGTGGGTGGGGCAGTAAGATGTTTTTCAAGAGCCCAGAATGTCTGTCCCTTGGTGAATGAAGGAAGGCTCCTGACCCACTGTAGTGGACACATGAGTAGAACCAGTTGTACAAACGGCAGGTAGATTTCCAAGAGGTAGGCAGCATTTTGCAACGAACCCATTCACCACTGTTGTCGGATGGAGTAAGGATTGAGCAATGGCGGCCAGGAACCACGCCAAGCAGGTTGGCTCATCTGAGATGGTGCCCACAGCATCGTCCTTCTCAGCACTATCGTTCCAACCCACTAAAAGACCACAGGCCAGAGTCAAGGGTGACAGGGAGTTTGAGGCACACACAGGGTTTGGGTGACTTGACACTGTTGCAATGTTTCAGGTTGGAGGAAAGATGGACGAGAACCGTTTTGTGGCGGTTACCAGTTCCAATGCAGCGAAGATTCTCAACCTGTATCCCCGCAAGGGCCGCATCATCCCTGGAGCCGATGCCGATGTGGTGGTGTGGGATCCAGAAGCCACAAAGTAAAGCCTGCTGCTCGTTGCCAGGGCTAGAGGGACTTGGGATTTTAAGGAACTTGTATTGCAAAACTCCACGAGCTTATCATCTTGGCCCTGCATCTAGCGTAGAGAAGTGTGACCCTGTGGTGTGTTCAGTTCAACAAATATTTGAGGGCTTGCCCATAGTCTGAGCACTAGGAATGCAGCAATGAACGAGACAGGCTTCAGACCTGCTGCAGTATACGTATCACCATGTGCACAGCACTTTTAGTGTTTCAGAGCGGCTTCACATCAGCGAGCTCATGTGATTTCATGCAGCCCCAAGAAGCACTCATGCTGGCATTCTTATTTCCATTTTCCTATTGGAGAAACAAAGACCAGAGAAGAAAGGCTCCCCATGTCACACAGCTAATACGCTCTTGAACCAGACAGAGATCCTGATGCTCCAGGCTCCTCCAGCAGCCCTCTGCTCCCCCTCATTGAAGGTGCTGGATACTCTTGTGTGCACGGAGCTTGACCGCAGCGTTAGCTGTGTGCAAGTTGAGTGAATGAATGAATCATGTCAGGACTTACCGTGCCACAGGATACAGAGCATGGTTTTTACTCAGAGATTTGGGTAGGAGAGATGGAAACCATTCTTCCAGATGAAGTTTTATTCAATCACTCAACAGATTTTTGTTGAGTGCTGTTTACCAGGCACTTCTCTCAGTGCCCAGGCTAGAAGTGAAGAAGATAAGCAAAGATTTAATAGAATTTTGAAAATAAAAGGTTGAATTGAAAAGAAAGTTCACCCTGTGTACCACCACCCACCCCAATGCCAGGATACCCATGCTGTCTTCACCCTTAGAGCATTCGAGAAGCCATGTCCTACATGACCAGCCTGGGGCTGATCCGTGTTGCTGTAGAGGTGTGACTGTTAATGGTCACTGTTAGCGGAAAACTCACTAGAGTTTGGCCCAGTTGATTAATTTCCTAGGGCTGCTCTAGCCCTACCACGGACTGGTGGCTCACACACCAGAAATTTATGTTCCCACAGTTCTGGAGGCTGCGAGTCCAAGATCAAGGTGTCAGCGGGTTTGGTTTCATCCTCTCTCTGTTTGTTGTAAATGGCTATCGTACCCCTCCATCTTCACCTGGTCTTTCCTCTATGAGTGTACATGGCTGGTGTCTGAATTTCCTCTTCTCAGAAAGACACCAGTCAGATTGGATCAGGGTCCACTCGTATGATCTCATTTTACTTTAATTAGCTCTTTAGAAGCCCTATCTCTAAATGCAGGCACATTCAGAGGCTGGGGGGGAAGGACTTCAGTGTACAAATTTGGGGGGTGATAGAGTTTGGTCTGCAACAAACAGCTTTGGAGGAGTTCCTTCTCACTGAGCATCCCATTGACCATCTTCTCGTCCCGCTGAGCCATGACATCTTCACCTCTTCTCAGAGCTTTGTCTCTCACCCCTGCCTCTCCACCAGGACCATCTCAGCCAGCACCCAGGTGCAGGGAGGAGACTTCAACCTGTACGAGAACATGCGCTGCCATGGCGTACCGCTGGTCACCATCAGCCGGGGCCGAGTTGTGTACGAGAACGGCGTCTTCATGTGCGCTGAGGGCACCGGCAAGTTCTATCCCCTGAGGTCCTTCCCAGACACTGTCTACAAGAAGCTAGTCCAGAGAGAAAAGGTAAGAGGAGGGAAGGGGAAGAAGATGTGTAGGAAGAGGTTAAAGCCCCCTGTTGGGGCAATTCTATATTTAAACCTCAGAGATGTTCTCATTCTATTTTCCCACTGAATCTTATCACCTAGAATGGTCACTTTGGGAACGACCGAACTAGCAGAAAGGGAGTACTTATAACAGAGTAAAATGTGTTGGGAACAGTCCCTAATTCCCCCTAGAGCTAAGGAAATACCACAGGATGCTCGCAATGTCCCCAACATCTAGTCTCTGGGAGGATTCTTGCCAGAGATGGGATTCCTGGCTCGGCCTGGGTTACCTATTTGCCCTGGAGGTGCTCTTTCCCTGAAACCTCCCCCTTCTTTGTGACCTGAGTGAGGTGGTTGGGATTTGCTGGGTCTGGATGCCCATCCCCCCGCCCAACCCTGATGCGATCAGGCCAGGTCTAGAATACTTCATAGCCCAAGGGTCCTACCCAGTGCTTGGATTCCATAACACACTGGATTTCCCTAAGTCTTTGGGCTTTGCCTCATCCCCAGGGGTTCCGGTCGTCTGAGTAGACACATTGACCCGAAAGAAGAATGGCTCATTGTTTAGGGATTGACTACCCAGACTTGGCTTTGAGAGCTGCCCTGGAGAACCTGGCCTGAGTTCTTGCTGACAACTCCAGAACTGGGAACGGCAGCCCTGGCCTTGGGGGTGGGGTGAGGGTGGGGGGACTCAGAGCACCAGGAAAGAACAGATCTGATGCACTGATAGCTAAAAGTACGTGGTTCTCATCGTGGTTTCTCCCCCGCTTCCTCTGGCATAAAGTGATAGTACTGTGGCTTCAGAATGCTCTAGAACCCTGCCTAGACAGGGTGGGTGTTCTTGCATCCCGCCCGGGCACCTAGGCGCCCCAGCCTCACTGGTCCAGCAGCGCTCCTGATTGGGCTCCGGGACACCACGGTTATAATCACGGCGCGCATAAGAGACGTTGAACCTTTTTTTGTGTTTTATTTTGTTTTTAATTTCTTCACCCAGCTTCTCCTGTTCTGTTCTTCCTTTTGCCTGGTATATCCTAGTCCTCTGTACACAGCAGGTGCCTACTCTGTGTTTTGAAGGCAGTAACAGAGAAACTTTCTTGTAAACTGCCCAGTCTGGCCTGGCCGGACAGATGCTTCTCTGTGCTGGAGGTGAGACCCAGTAAAATGGTCTGTGTGTTTTTTAGCTGGAGGCCCTACGTAGCAGCTGGTGGGGAGGCCCGTTCCGGCCCCTTGCAGGTGACCTCTCCTCCCCCCACCCCTGCCCCCCATATTGTGGTTACTGGCCCAGACCAGCATCGGCTTCCCACTCCTGGCCCTGTGCTCTCCACTCATCATCAGCTCTGGCTCATAGCAGGGACCAGAGATATGAAGGACCTTGACTGAAAACAGACTCAGCCGCCCCATTACTGAGCTCTAGAAATCTGCTCAGTAATATCTCAGGAAAAGGCTTTTAAGAGCTGCCTGTGGCTTGGCACACTGTGCCATGAAATGGTCACATGGCCTCTCCTCTTCAGCCAGACTCTCTTAGCGTTGTGGTCCTCAAGTCCTTTATGCAGAAGCGAAGCTTCTTTGCCCAGTCCCTCGGGCCTCTGCTCCTTGCTCGTTCCTTCCTTGAACCACCCAAAGGCTTTCAGGAGCAGCCGCGGCAGCCTGTGTCCTTCTAGCTGTTCTCTGTCCGCTTCTCAGGCTGGCACGTGAGGCCCCAGCCCTGGAAGGAAGGCTCTACCAGGCGAGGTGGGGGGCATGGGGCAGGTAGGCTTTCCTGCACTCTCTGGACCTCTAACCAAGACTTCGCTTCACCCGGAGTATGGTCCTGAGTGTGGTCCTCAGTACAGCCCACCCCCCCACACACACAAGTTCCTTCGCAAAAACTACAGCTTTCTCTCCCAAACTATGGTCCAGCTCTCCTGGGCCGAGAGGGGGGTATGACGGACAAGGGGAATGCGAGTTGGGTAGCACCGGGTTCCACTCCCCGTCTTTGGTGGTCACACAGAATTTTAAGTGATCAGGCAAACAAGGAGTTCTGGGTTCCCCCAAAGGCACAAGAAGGAAATGTAAGCATGTCTGAGTTCCTCTTGATTCACAGGCTCGGGGGCTTTTGAGGTACTGCCATTGCTTGGTTCCTTCCCAATCTTGATGAAGTAACGCGTATAAAACTGATATTTGAAAAGCGATCATTTAAAGCCTAAAAGTAAGGAGGGCATATTAACACCAAAAGATCAATTCTGCTGGCTTTCCATGTGTGAGGGCCCAGAGTTCTCAGAATGACTAAAGACCCTTCTCTCTCAAAGGCCAGCAAAGGGAGAAATCCAAAGCCGGATGTGCCATGGGGGAGCAGACCTGGGTCCCCTGAAAAAAAACCATGATTTCAGTTATGACAGCGTTCAATCTAAAAGGAAACCCAGGGTCTGTCAGGAGGTGAATGGTGCTATCTCCAGAAAGTTCCCCAGATGTAGACCGTGGCTGAAGGCCTCAGCCAGCCTCTGGAGGGAGCACAGGCAAGAGCAGCGAGAGCGATTCGTTCGTACAGCAGAATGGCCGACTAAGGGTGGCTGTCGTTTTGAAAAGGAAACTGGAAGATACCGAGTGTCTGTTGCGATGTGGAGAAAGTGAACCCTTGTTCATGGCTGGAGGGAATGTCAAACGGTGCAGCTGTTTTGGAAAACAGTTTGGCGGTTCCCCAAAAGTTAGATATTCGAGTTTCCAGATGAGCCAGCATTTCTCCTCTTGGGTATATCCTCAAGGGAAGTAAAAATATATGTCTGCCCAAAAGCTTGTACGTGTCCATAGCAGCAGCATCCATGGAGGCCGAGAGGTGGAAACACCTCAGATGTCCATCAACTGTTGAATGGATAAACATAATGAAGTCTAGCCGTTCGATAAAATATTATTTGGCCGGGAAGGGAAATGGAGTACTCACATAGGCTCCATACAACATACCTGAACCTTAAAAGCATGATGCTAAGTGAAAGAATCTCGTCACAAAAGACCACACATTTTAAGATTCCATTTATGTGATGCATCCGTAATGTCCATAGAAAGAAGATGTGTTAGTGGTTACTTAAGGCCGGGGCGGGGGACAGGAGTGACTGCAAATGGGTGTGGGATTGCTTTGGAGGGTGATGACAATGTTTGGGAATTAGATAGTGGTGGTGGTGGCGGCCCAGAATTTGTGAACACTCGACACCACTGAATTGTGTACTTTCAAATGGCAAGTTTTAGGGTATATGCGTTACATTTCAATATGAAAAGAAAAAAGAATGACAGTTCTGTGATCTTTCCAAAAAAAGATATTTTATTCAGGAAATTGGGTCAGAAGAGGGCAGAGAAAGTATTTCAAGCCCTTCTGAAAGCCAGGCTCATAAAAAGGTGAGGTGGATTCCAATTCACAGCGCACCGCTCCCCTTGGGCCAGCCACCACGAAGTACCAGCCTCCAGCACTGGTATCGATTCAACCCAGACTCTCTTTATCTAAAGCATCTATTACAATGACAACGTAAGATTCCTGAGAAAAAGCCTGTTCTGTTAAAGGAATGCATGTATGCAGAAAAAGAAAATTATCCAAAAATCTCATTTTCCTAAAGTTGGCAATGATCAGTCCCTAAAGACCGTGGGTATCAGAGAAGAAAGCCTCTCTGGTGGAGAATATAGAGCCAGCAGCAAGGGCCCTTCCAGAAGCTGTCACCTGCCAAGGTCACAAATCCAGTTTTCACACAGCCAGTGTTTCCACCTTTCACCACTAGGACCCCAGCCTCCAGAGCCAGGAGGCTAACGTGCAGCCTGGTAGAGGCCGAAACAGTTCAGACAGACCAGGCTGGACGTTCTGAGGGCGGAGCTAAACCATAGCTCTGTTGTTGGAGAACATAAAGCAATATGTGGGCTGAAGATCCTTCGAGAAATCCCCCATGTCTATTGTTTCAATGAGATTTTCAGGAAGCAGCAAGGTGGTCGAGGTTATGTCCCTAACAAGTGCCTGGCATGTAGATCATCCCCGCTGCTCTTCAGGCTTTCTGGGCGCGCTCCAATTCACCTTGTCCTTACAGCAGCACCTGCTAACGTGAATACGCACACGTTCTAAGAGCTCTATGTGTGTTCATTCATTTGATCTAACAATTCTATATGTAGTACTAATAGGTACTACTGTCATCCTATTCTTACAAATAAGGAAACATGGGGCACCTGGGTGGCTCAGTCGGTTAAGCATCCGACTTCGGCTCAGGTCATGATCTCATGGTTCGTGGGTTCGAGCCCTGCATCAGGCTCTGTGCTGACAGCTAGCTCAGAACCTGGAGCCTGCTTCAGATTCTGTGTCTCCCTCTCTCTCTGGCCCTCCCCTGCTCACGCTGTCTGTCTGTCTGTCTGTCTCTCTCTCTCTCAGAAATAAATAAAACGTTAAAAAATAATAAGGAAACAGGCACAGAGAGGTTAGGTAACTTGCATAAGGTCACAGAGCTGGGATTGGAACCCAGGCTGTCGAGATATAGAACAGCGTTTACTTTACTGCCTTTGTGAGTACAAAATTAACTAGCATTGCCACTGGGGTGTTCTCATCTCCAAATCAGCTGTATTTTGCCTCTATCCCTACAAAGTTGTCACATCACAGTAGAAGGCATGGCCTCTTGGGAGCCTGGTGTGTGAGGGGATAACATTGCTCCAGGGGAGGGAAATACCCCAGAAACCCACCTGCTGCCTCAGAAAGGATTCCACCAATGTTGAGGGGGAGCCAGCGGAGCCCCTCTACGCAAGGGCAAGTGTGCACACATACACACGTGCACACCTTGTTTAGGAGGTAAAAGACTCCTCCACTCCTGAGCTCAAGATGTTAAGAAACTTTTGTCGCATGCAGTCATGTGGGTCCTGAGAAGAGTGGCAGCGTCCGACCTCCTGCCGGCCATCGAGGAGGCTCTGGTGGAGAGGGCTTCTGGGCTCTGATGGTGTGTGTTTTCCCGTTTCCTCCTTCTCCATCCTTCACTAGACCCTAAAGGTTAAAGGAGTGGACCGCACTCCCTACCTGGGGGACGTAGCTATCGTTGTGCATCCCGGGAAAAAAGAGATGGGAACACCACTCGCAGACACTCCTACTCGGCCTGTTACCCGACACGGGGGCATGAGGGACCTTCACGAGTCCAGCTTCAGCCTCTCTGGTAAGAGCAAGGGCCACTCGGGCTGGGACATGCATCGCTACCACGGGGGTGGCCGGAGGACAGGCTGTGGGACTTCTGAGGCTTTTTCTCTCCATCTCCTCCCTCCCCCACCCCCTGGCCCATCCCACATCTGCAGATGAGTGCTGGGTCCCATATAGAGTCACACGAGCCCATATAGAGGCTCTTCCGATCCCTGGGCCTCAGCCTCTCCATGGCATGTCTGGTGCGCTCCCGTTGTCTCTAAGTTCAGAAATGTTTTCCTTTGAAACATCTTCAGGGCCCTGCACACAGTGGGTGCCCAGGGATGGTTGGAGCTCGGAAGGGTTAACCCTCTCTGCTGCATGAGACTGTACCCCAGTGCGGTCTGCCCATGCCCATCCCTGCTCCTTGCCAGCCTCTAAGAGAGGTGTTTCCCTATTCTCTTTCCTCCCTCACCTCAGCCCCATGTTTGCCCCTCTGGAACCTTCTTTTTTGCCAGCAACTGTAAGACTGTGTGTAATACCATATATAATATGTGGGGTGGGTGGGCTCTGGGACTTTATTGTCAACAACTCACATCCCAGGTGCCCTGCAGTGGTGAAAGGTAGGGCTCGTTGCCACAGAAAGCGTAGCCCTCCGTGGAGAGCGAGCGGAGGCGGTAAAATGGCCTGGTCATCCAGGCAGCTTTGGTGGACACTGGGGACCCCCCCACACACTGGAAAGGGGCAGGACTGGGTCTCCCTGAACACGCTGAGCAGCCGTCAGAGTCAGACCAGGTGGAGGCCACGCCTCGCTCTGCAAGGCCACACCGGGACCTGTCCAGATCCTTCCACGCAGGGTGTGGTGTTTATTGTTTTGAAACGAGAGGTGGGGGGATCGAGGCTGCCCGCCGAGCTTCCTGTGTGTCCCATATGTGCCGGGGGCAGCCGGGGGCAGCCGGGGGCAGGAGACACGTGGTTCCTGCTTAGTTTGAGGACCTTGTAGCCTGTGGGGAGGGGCCCTCTCCACCACTCTCTCCATCCTCAGGCAATTTCGGTGCTGAGACAACCATCCCCTCGCCCCCCCCCCCCNAGGGGCCCTCTCCACCACTCTCTCCATCCTCAGGCAATTTCGGTGCTGAGACACCCCCCCCCCGCCCTGAGGGCTGCTGCCAGTCCCACCAGCAATAGGACACGTGTGCTGGGAGTCAGGAAGGAGTCGGTGGTGTGGAGCGTTGCGGTCAGGCCTGGCCGCCCCAGGCGGCGTGGGCCCTTCCTGCAGCGGCCAGGCCCACAAGAAGCCATGAGGCCCTCAGAGCGGCCAGTGGCTGCCACTCCTACATCTCGGGGCAGGACTCTCTCAGACTCAGCAAATATCCGGCGTCCACCCCACTCTCCTCTCTTCCAGACAGGCTGGACTGACGAATGTCCCACTCACTCCCTGGGGCATCAAGCCACTTTCTGAGTCTGGGGATTTCAAGATGCTGGGCTTTTAGGGTGCAGTTCTTTGATTTTCCAGAACCATGGCAAGCCCAGCCGTCTCCCTGTCGTACTTACTGAGGCACGTACACAAAGGCCCACATGCTAACGGGCTGACTGATGGTCTGTGTGCATGACAGGAGACCACATGGTCAGGTCTGTGAGCAGCAAAGGTAGCATAGTAGGGCAGTTCATCAGAGAGGCCCTCAATCAGAAAGACCTGGGTTCAAATCCAGACCCTACCACTTATACACTATGTAACACTGGTCAAGTCACTTAACCTTCCTGAGCCTCGGTTTCCTCGTCTGTAAAATGGGACAGAGTCGTGAGGATTCAGATAGATCGTCCCCACAGAGGGCTTAACAGCCACTCAAATGGGGGCCGTGAGGCTATAACCCAGGCAAGAGCAGCTGAGCTCACCCTCTGCTTCCTTCTCTGCAGGTTCTCAGATCGATGACCATGTTCCAAAGCGAGCTTCGGCTCGGATCCTTGCTCCCCCCGGAGGCAGGTCAAGCGGCATTTGGTAAAGGCACTGACCAGCCCCCCCCACATGAGGACGCACCGCTGCCACCAGCCCGCACACCCTCCGGCCGCAGCTGCAGGGGGCGGGAGAGGCTGGGCTGGGCGGCACACCACCTGAGGGGGCCACAGGACCCGGGGAGCCCTCCCCATGTCTGACACGTGATTCACTGTGCTTCGAGCCAACCCTAATAGGCACTTTGAGATGTGTTCCTCCCGCTGCAGTCCTTTCCTGCCTTGGCCTCGGCAGGCTTTTGGGGGCCCAGGAAACCCACACTATGCACAGAGCCCAATGCATAGAGCCCGGCCTAGCCCCTCCTCACACCCGCCTCCATGTGCTGGCTTCGGGGAAGCCCAGACTTTAGTGCCCTGCCCCCTGGCTCACCCGCCAGCTGTCCGGAGCACTTTAGCAGATGTGTGTTAGAGGAAAAGGACCCCCTCCCCCTAAGGAGGCCCCGCGGTCGCTTTTCCCCAGTCAGACAGGTGTCGGCTTCCCAGCCATGCCCAGGGTGTCCCCGTTCCTCCTGACTCCGCGCTGGCCCCCGTGTGGGTGCGGTTGGGACACTCTGCACCCTTTGCCAGCTTCTTCCTCCCCCCACCCCGCCCTCTGGGAGCCACAGGCCCGGAGGGGCGAGCTGGGTGGGGCGTGGGGCTGGTGCCAGGCGCGTGTACATGATTTTGTTTTGCACGTTTGGTTTGCGCAGTGGTTTGGTTTGACTTGTTTGTGCATCCTGTGAAAAATAACGGTGCTTCGTGTCACTAGCATAGCATAGAAACAGGAGTAGATGTGGACCTTAAGAGATGCTGCACTCGACACCAACCAGACAGCCTAGGGCGCAGGCGGGGGTTGGCGGGGGGAATGAGGTGTGGGACTCACAGGCCCTTCTCCTCCCCACCTGGGGTCCTCCAGGCTGCCTAGGCCTTGTCCTGGGCCCTCCTCCCATCCCCTCCTGTCCTGCTATAGTTTCCCATAGGCTGCGAGGGTACCCCCAGGGTGCCCCCAGGGACCGTCGGGGAGTAGAGTCACCTTTCCCATCTCTGGCTCTGGTCTCTCCCAGCACTGACACCCGCACACACCCAGCTAGCTTCCTATAAACTCCCCCTGCCGGACGGAGGCCCAGCCGCTCCTCCTGTGTGATTGGCAAGGGGCCTCATGCCTGCTAAGAGAGGGGGAGTGGGGCTAGGGAGGGGGTGGGCTAGATGCCTGGGAAGGATGCCAGGCCAGCAGGACCGCGCTGGAGAACCCACATTGCTGCACAGGTGCTGTGGCCCCCTGTGGTCAGCACCTCCCCTTCACCTGCTTGTGGCCTCCATCTCCTCCCACCTCCAGCCAGGCCCTCCCTGCCTCAGAAGCTCCAGGAGGTGGAAACACTAGAGGCTGGGCGATCACCATCCTCCCCAAGCGAGCTGGGGAGCAGCCCAGCCGCCTGCCCCTCTTAAGCTTTGCCCTCCCTCCCCTCGGGGAAGCGATTTCACGTTGCACATCGCTTTGCGCACCACAGGCTTGTCCCAGGACTCTTGGGCTAGTGGTCGTGCCCTGCACACTTCTTCCGTGCTTTACGTGTTGTCCAAGCACGTACTGCATATACGAGCTCTCACGTGCTCCTCACGATAGCAGAGCATGTATTAATTCCCCATTTCACAGATGAGACCCAGAAAGGTTAGGCCTTCTGACCCCAGGGGTGTCCGTGACGACCCTTAAGAGCGTGGCTGCCTACCCCAGCTGTGGAAAGGACGAGGGATGACGTCTCTTGTAGACCCCACCTGAGAATTTAACCATCCGGAAGACCGACCCCCTTGGTAGGCATTCTGCTTTGTTTTGCACAGATAGATAGATTTTTCTTGTAAACAAACTGATGCATATTCACTGCTTGAGCCAGAACTAGTTCAATGTTGGGGGCTTGCTGTGTGGTTTGCGCTGCCCCCACATCCTCATTTCTCCCTTCATGCTCATCTTCCTCACTCAGGAGCTGAGAAGACAGACACGGTACCCCAGGGAGCAGAGGCAACAAAGGCATTCACGGAGGGTGGCAGCCACGGGGACAGTAGGTAGGGATCTGGGCCTAGGAAACCGTGACCTTGACCCCTCGGTACAGTGCACTTCGCCATCATTATCCCTTCCGGCCCTTTGCTGGGTCGCGGGCCTTGGGAAGATGCCAAAGAGCCGAGCAGTGGTGGTAGCCAGCGGACAGAGCGTCCCTGCTTGGGCCAGGAAAGCTTTACGTTCTCTTGAGTGCCTCTGCCTGAGAGACGCGTGGTCTGTGGCTCTGGGAGACCACATCTTCGAGTGGTCCACCATAGGCCTTCCACTTCATCTACCCCCCCCCCCCCACCCCCGATCTTACATAGACCCCACCCTTGCCCAGGAGCTTCTAGATGAAAATCAGAAGGAGGTTCAAGGGACCACATGCGCAGCCAGCCCCCACCACCCACTCCATACCCCTGTGCAGAGCTCCAGCCAGCTCCATCGGCAGCCCCGCTGCCCCTGGTTGGAATGGAAAGGGTCTCTGGTTGCACTGAATGCAGCTCTCATACTGGTCTTGTACTTGCTGAATAAATACTGTTGTTCTTGCCTTAGCTGCTCTCTAGGTTTGTGGGAATAAGTTACCCGAAAATTGTGCTACTGTGTGTGCGTGTGCGTGTGCGTGTGCGTAGTGCTAGGAGTCCACAGTAGGTCTCTGTCAAAGCCAATGCCGTGATGAGGGCGTTTCCGATACTGACCCAGAAACCACAGAACCACGCGAAAACCCAAACCCCCTCCAGCTGCCCGGGCGGCAGGAACAGCCTGGGGTAGGGATAGAGCCTCCAGCACCCAAGTGACTTCTCACTCCTCTGTAAATGTCATGGTGCTAAGATCGTGTCAGCCCCAAGATGATACACGATCCTGTGCTTTCGCCACCTGTTTGAGGCAAAAACAAAACAGCCCGACACATTGTGTTCTGGTGCAGGTTTGTATTAAACTGTAGCTACTTCTCACTTGGTCTCAGTTGTGTTTCTTCAAAGAAGAGGGAGTTTTACAGGGTCCCTCTTCCACGGTGGCAGGGGTGAGGCTTCAGTTGCTAAGAAAATGCAGTTCTGGTGTTTCATTCGTGTTGGGTGGCAGGTGCTGCTCACTGAAGGCCTGAGCAGGCTGTAGAGAAAAACAGCGGAGAGGTGGGATCCTCAGTGCTCGGCACTCGGGGCTCTGTCCTCTTTCTGGTGGGGACAGAAGCAAGGCTTTGGGTTCCAGATTCGCAGGACAAAGTTGCTGAGTTCACTGAAACAAGGAGAATTGGGAGAAAGCATTACATACGAAAGGGGGTGGGGGGAACTAGGCTTTCCCCACTTATCCTTCATTGCCTAGTCTCTTGGCTACCATTTTGGAAACCCACAGACCCCTCTTTACACAATGGAACTCTTGGCTGATGGAGCGATGGCCTCATAAAATCACATGACAGAAAGCTGTCCGAAGGCCAGCGTGTCTTTGAAGGACCCTCGGGCTGCTCTCCGGTTCTCTAGAACTCCACCTTTTGGATTGGTCTACTGTACCCCCAACCCTTCCACCTGCATCACCTCTACCTTCTCTCTAGATCTCAGCCAAGTCTTGAAAGGGATTACCAGATCAAACTCTTTCACACGAAAGAGTGAAATCGTTTCCAGTACTATGGGGTCACCTGTAGTTTTTTCTTAGCCCCCAAAGACAAAACCCTAATGAGAGAAATTTAGTGTGCGAAATGGTCAGTGGTGAAGGAACTTCCCCACTTCTCACCAAACAGCCCTGCGCATCAGGCCAGGACTGAAAGTAATACCCGGGGTGCTACAGTTGGGGCTGAGTACTCGGCTATAATGAAGTGAGCTATATACACAAACTGGTGGGGTTTGTGAGCCGGACGGAAACACTATTACCTGGCCTGCGATGGATGCTGAGTCCCTGGGATGATACTGGGCCAAAGTGGCTGTGTTACCCTGATTTCCCATTGTGTGGGGGCACCCCTGAATTTAATTAGCGGCCAAAAATCTGTTGTATTTGGATGAAAGACAACATGCCACATGTTCGGCAGGCCATGTGCATGGTATTGGATGGTTTATAGAGGAAAAAGAAAGAAAGCTATCCAGGAAGACATGGCATGCCTTTGTGTGTATGTAGTTGTGGGAAAATAAAAGATCACAGACTTTAAAATAAAGCCACCTAATAAGATCATTCATGAGATTATCTGCATTCAGGGAAACCTAACCAGCCATCACCCTCAATCTCTTTACTGAGAATTACGGGATGACTTTTTAAACAAAGGTATAACCTAACACTAAGAACTGTCTTGTAGTTGGTGAAAGGGGGAGGAGTCTCATGACAGCCCACATATAAAGGAGAAACCTCACGATACATGGGAAGGATGGACTTGTAATCCTAGATTAATAAAAGGCTATTTGAGGGGCACCTGGATGGCTCAGTCGATTAAGCGTTTGGCTCAGGTCATGAACTCACAGCTTGTGGGTTTGAGCCCTGAGTTGGGCTCTGTGCTGATAGCTCAGAGCCTGGAGCCTGCTTCAGATTCTGTGTCTCCCTCTCTCTCTGCCTCACTCCTGCTCGAGTTTTGTCTGTCTGTCTCTCTCTCTCAAAAATAAATACACATTTTTTTAAAAAGTCTATTTGGTAGTGTCACTGATAACACATTTGAAATGGTTTTAATGCTTTCACCCTAGGACATTAAAAGACCTAGCATTCTGTTGATACTTGATACCATCTTACAATGAAAACTGAATTCTTCACTTTCTTCCCCTGGTATATTTACAAACTATGCACTTACACCTATAGAGAATCTTGTCCTGGGTTAAGTCTATTCCTCCAGAGTAATAATTAATAGTGCCACATTTCATATGGGTCATGGTTTGGGCAGTAAATTATATGGCCACCTCATGCATGCCTATATTCATTAGGCTATTAATATGCCTGTTCAGGAGTTAAAATTTTTTTCCTATCACTGAAAGATGAAGGGTAAGGGCATCGTGGGAGGTGGAGGAAATGGGTCCTTCTTCAGTGAATGGAGACAAGGGTGTCCTGTGACAAGCCATGGATACAGCAGAATGGTGAAGGTCTGGGGGCACTTTCCTAAGCTTTTCAGTTTAGCGTATGGACTTATTTATTATTCCATTAAAAACTGTAAGTCTCCCAACTTTCATCACTTATTTTTAAGGGGAGTTTGATCCCATTTGTCAACTTAATTGAATACTTTACAACATTTCTAACTACATTTAAAATCCTATTTCCTTTTAAAATACTTATCCTAAGGGCGCCTAGATGGCTCAGTCAGTTAAGCATCTGACTTAGGCTCAGGTCAGGATCTCACAGTTCATGGGTTCGAGCCCCATGTTGAGCTCTGTGCTGACAACTAGCTCAGAGCCTGGAGCCTGCTTCAGATTCTGTATCTCCCTCTCTCTCTGACCCTCCCCTGCTCATGTTCTCTCTCTCTCTCTCTCTCTCTCTCTCTCAGAAATAAATAAAGCACTTAAAAAATAAAAATAAAAAAATAAAATACTTATCCTAACAGCTAAAAAATTATTGTCAGTCTAATCAGTTAAACCCACAAATATAGTGAGCTTAGAGGTTCATTAGATGTTTCACTGTGAAACGTAAACTTAGTAAAGATTTCATCTCGAAGTCCTAAATCTTTGGCTGGGAACCTGGGCATCTAAGAGGATATGAGGAAGGCCTGCTTCCTAACTCCTCTGGTGGCTCAAATTTCCAAAGTTATGTCCCAGCTTCTCACTTTACCACTATATGGTCCCTCTACACAAACTGCATAGTTATTAGTGCAAGACTCCTATGTAAGTTCTAGCCAAATGAATTCTGCCTCCTTTCAGATTTTTTTGAATATATTAGATGCTTTGTATTTTAAGGTTTCCTTACATTTTAACTTAATGAATTCTGTTCTTGTATAGCTTTCTTTTAAAAATAGGCTTTATTTTTTTAGAACAGCCTCTAATTTACAGAAAAACTGAAAAGAGAGTACAGAGAGCTCCTACATACCCTATGCCTACCTTCCCCTATTATCAACATCTTATATTAATATGGCCCTTCTGTTACAATTAAAGCTCCAATATTGATACATTCGTATTAACTAAAGCCCACACTTTATTCAGATGTCCTTAGTTTTTATCTAAGGTGCTTATTCTCTTTTAGAACCCCATCAAGGACACCACAGTACATTTACTTGTCCTGTCTCCTTGGCCTTCTTTTGGCTGTGAGAGTTTCTCAGACTTTTCCTTGTTTTCGATAACCTCGATAGTTTTGAGAAGTACTGGTCAGGTGTTTTGTAAAAGACTCCTCTATTAGAATTGGTCCACTATTTTTTTCTCAAATAAATGGTTGGGCTGGTATTATGGATTTTTAGGAGGAAAGCCACAGAAATAAAATGTGTTTTTTAATCACATCATGTTAAAGGTAATAATGTCTATATGATTTATCACTATTGATATTGACCTTGATCACCCAAATAAAGTCTGGCATCACTTTTTAAAAAAAAAAAAATTAATGTTTATTATTTCTGAGAGAAAGAGACAGAGTGTGAGCAGGGGAGGGGCAGAGAGGGAGACACAGAATCCAAAGCAGGCTCTAGGCTCCAACATGGGGCTTGAACCCACCAGCTATGAGATCACATCCTGAGCTGAAATCTGACACTTAACCTACTGAGCATCCAGGCACCCCTGGCATCACTTTCTAAATTTACATTGTTCTCTTTTAAGACCCACTAGTTCCTCTTTTTACAAATGTAACTTTCTTAAGCAACTAAATACATATATCATACTCTGTGATGTGCTATGTTTTCAAGGCATTTGCTAAATGATTCTCCTAGGTATGACTTTTTTTATTCAGTATCACTTGTAAAGTCTTTACTTTGACTATGGGAGATCAAGAAGATACCGTTATCTTAGAATAGCACACAATCAACAAAAAATATTCACATTAAACACAGGCTCTTGACGTTTGATCTGAACTTCTGATTCCTGTGTCAAAATTTAGACATTTACACACACGCACACAATGTTTTTATTTCACTACGTAACCCCAACTTCATGAGGCCTTTGGATAAATACAAGTGCCCATTACGTTAATGCTATTGGAATTATACTTCCAAAAGCCAATTAGAAATTCTAGGAAAAGGGGTGCCTGGGAGGCTCAGTCATTTGATTGTCCGTCTTTTGATTTTAGCTCTTGTCACGATCTCACAGTTCACAGGATCAAGGCCCATGTTGGGCTCTTCGCTAACAACACAGAACATACTTAGATTCTCTCTCTCTGTCTCTGTGTGTGTGTGTGTACCCTGCTTGCTCTCTCTCTCAAAATAAATAAACTTTAAAACAAGCAAAAACAACAACAAAAAAGAAATTCTAAGAAAAAAAAAGACACTAAACAAAGTTAATAAGCTAATGTTGGGGAAACATATATTATTCTTTTAATGCTATGCAGGAAGTTAAGTTGCAATTTTGTATGGATTTACATAATTTTGGATTATCTGAATTTTACTGAATGAATTGATAAAGGACACATTTTTTCCATTTGTAACACGTTAGTCTCAATATCTTAACAACTACCAAAGCCCCATGTCTTACATCATATTTACAAAAATGTTTTAGCTATTTCATTTTAGTGCAGAAATACAAATTCATGTTAAAATCAATTATACCATAGTCAAAATTCCTGATTTTACATTCTATATTTTCACCTTTGGGCGGGGGATTATATTTTTAAAAAATGAACTCACTGAATTTCCCAGCTTTGTTAGTGTGTTAAACACTTTTTGAATTTGAGAGGCAGTTAATACTGAGTTCTCAAACTTGAAACAGCATTTTAAAACAGCAATAAGGGGGTGCCTGGGTGGCTCAGTTGGTTAAGTGTCTGACTTTGGCTCAGGTCATGATCTCACAGTTCATGGGTTCAAGCCCCACATCGGGCTCTGTGCTGACAGCTCAGAGCCTGGAGCTTGCTTTGGATTCTGTGTCTCTCTCACCTCCTATCCCCATCCCTCCCTCACACTCTCTCTCTCTCTCTCAAAAATAAACATTTAAAATTTTTTGAAAAAATAAAGAAAACAGCAGTAAGAATTATAAATGATTCTCTTACCAATGAAAGGAGTGGAGATGACTGAGTCAACCACCAACTTTCTAGAAAGGTCTTTTCTGGGGCGCCTGAGTGGCTGAGTTGGTTGAGCATCTAACTTCAGCTCAGGTCATGACTCACACGTTGTAAGTTCAAGCCCCGCATTGGCCTCTGTGCTGAGA